GTACGTGTTCTGACTTGGACATCTTCACATTAACGTTAGTTTTTATTGTTTTGTTCATGTAATCGTTGCAGCATTATCAGATCGTTTACTCGATTTATTTTTCTATGATTTCAACCATATTGCGATGAAATTCAGACGGAGGTTGTTGACGTTTTTGAAGCGACATTCGCAATAATTTTGCTGTTAATAATTATTATTAGAACAAGTTTTCCTTGTCGTTGTTAAGCGTATAAACGAGATTCGGATAATGTTTGGTAAAGGATTTTCGGATCGTATTAGAGGATGAAGAAGCTTTCGAATGAATGCTTTATTCAGTGATGGACGTTTGCAAAGTTTGGTTGAGATCGTGCATCAGATTGCTGTCGAACCGATATCCACAGATGTGGCGCTTCTTTCACATCTACTCGCGTTCATTGCCCATCTCCTTCAAAAAGGTGCACTTCAACCAACCGTCGATATGATTTCTGAGGTTCCTTCGAAAATTGTTTATTCGTTTACAGAATTGAATAAATGGCGTGTATGTGGTAATGCCATTTCAGTGGTTCATCCATTGTTGAGTTTTTTTTTTCATATCCATTTGATCGGATGGTGCGAAATTGAATTCACAGTGTAGCCGTGTTGAAGAATAACTAATGCATGTTTTGATTTGATTATTTGTGAACAATTGAACAGCTTGAGAGAATAATTGGTTTTTAGCTGATCGAAAAGGTTTTATCGGCAGACGTAACTGCAGAGATGCGAATCGCTGAAACAGATCGCTGTATTGTTGAACTGATGCGAAATGTTAGCGATTTGAATGAGCTGGCGATTCTGAGAAGAGCAGAAAGGGTTCCACAGTAAGCGATTTTTATTCCTGTTCTGATGTGATTCATCAGCCAATCTTCCTGTGACTGATTTCATTTAATGGTACAGAGATTTTTTATTTCGAATGGTTTTCGATCAATCGATGGAAGGAATAAAATTTCTAATCTTTGATTTTTGCGATGATTTTTCGGTTCATACTAAATAATAACGTGAATTAAACAATGCTTGAGAGGAGCACTTTGTTTGATAGGAGTAATTTTATTATGAGATATCACTTTTTTTGAGTAGAATGCAGTAGGCAGCTGTGAAATGTGGAGATTTTTTGTGTGGAGAATCAGTTCCCTTGCCTATTTGATATCATATTTTATTTGCTTTCCTGTGATGTTTCACTCCATGTGTGCGCATGTATGCTGCTAGTTGAGCTTCTTTGTTGAGAGTGTGTGTGAGATGATGTGAGATGTTTACAAAAGCCAGATGATACGTTGAGATAAGGCCGATCTGCAGCACAGAAATTATAGATTGAATACTTGTAGACATATGCTATACGTTTGTTGATTCATCTAGAAACATTCACGTTTTATTATGTTGGTGATTATGAACGTAGCTCTCATATGGCATTG